GCCATGAAGAGCCGGAGACGTCGCCGGGCGCTCGGAGGACGGGCGGCTCCCTGCGGGCCGGGAGTCGCTTGTGCCGGACGGGGTGGTTCCCGACTGGGGCTTCGCAGGCAGCGGGTGCCCCTCGCGGGCGAAGGGGGTCGCGGGCGCCTCGGCGGTCGGTCGGAGAACGAGAATCCCTCGGCGTAAAGCTCCCCCGCGAAAAGCGAGGCGCCGTGGGCCGATTAGACGTCTGATTTGAACGGGGGGGGGGGGGAGAGATCTGCCTTTCCGTCCCCTCTGCAGCCCTTGGAGTAACTCTGGAGCCACATCAAAGTAGCCTCCAGATCAGGAACGCAAAGGAAATTAGGGGATTTACTGCCATCTGATGCAGCGATGGCCAGCAGGGCACACAGCGTGGAGAGGACGTTAGGCCAGTTTACGGTGGTTTGCTTTTCGCTGACTACCTCTCGGGGGCTGCGATTTCCCTCGAAACCCCAAGCAGCATATTTAATCGCCAGTTGCTAGGGAATCGCCCTTCTCTTGGGGGCTCCTGAAATCACACCGGTGGGTTGCTGGGCGCCAAGGAATGCTGCGCTAGATGGGGAAGGGGATTCCCTCCAGCCGGGTGTCTGCTTTTGTCAGGGCTACCTCCAGCAACAACGATGATAAGCATTTATATTGTCATAGTGACATGTGCTAAATGATCATATGGAATAATAATAATAATAATAATAATAATAGCAGCAGTAATTTACTTGAACAGCTTATATCCTGTGACAGTACCTCCAACACCATCAAACAACAACATCTGCCTATCCCAGATCCTTGGGAAGGACTCTGTAGGAGGATAAAAATGCCAAATCCAGTCTAAACATCTGGCTCACTGCAACCAACCATAATAATAATAATAGGATAAAGAGTGGAAACCAAAATGGGATAAGGCTTTGTATGTTTCTACTATAGTAATGATACAAACTTGTTTCTTTTGTAATGCTGATAAAATGGCTGTTTCATAAAATAAAACACAGGGCCCTTTTTTCCTTCATTACTTACAGTTTTGGTTAATTACAGGTTAAATATGAGCCAGTTTGGTGTAGTGGTTAAGGCATCAGGCTAGAAAATGGGAAACTCTGAGTTCTAGTTCCACCTAGGCACAAACCTGGGCCAGTCACTTTCTCTCAGCCCTAGGAAGGAGGCAATGGCAAACCACTTTTGAAAAACCTTACCAAGAAAACTGCAGGGACTTGTCCAGGCAGTCTCTAAGAATCAGACATGATTGGATTAAAAAAAAAAGCTGCAAGGTAAATATTTTACTGTAACCAGTTGGTTTTAGCTAAAGACTTAACACAAGAGACTCCCTTCAAGTGTAAGTCTCTTCTTTGAGATGTCTACATTTAAAATTAATAAACTGACGAAAATACAAAACAAAAAATAATAACCACCCCTCCCCATACCAGGAAATGGGATTTACTTTATGAAATGGAAAGCAGCACATGGTGTTCTGTCGTTAAAATGCTGTCCGCACTAATTTGGAACAGGATTTCTGCCAGTGCTGCAGGATTGTTGATCTAAACTCTTCCTGCTGGCTTCACTGAAAAAAATCCTCTATTTCTTAGCCCAGTGCCCTCCTCGTTGCTTTGATTCCCCCCCCCCCTCTACTTTGCGATGCTTAGATTTGGCCATGACTGTTGTGCTTTGATTGATAAAATGTATGTCCTTAATCATTTATCTTTTATTTTTTTAAGCTGTGAAAGACCCCCTGGCAGTTGAACGGACGAATCTATTGAACATGGCTAAATTGAGCATAAAGGGGCTCATTGAATCTGCTCTGAGCTTTGGACGAACTCTTGATTCCGATTATCCACCTCTTCAGCAGTTTTTTGTCGTCATGGAACACTGCCTGAAACACGGTCTCAAAGGTACAGATGGCATTTTTGGGTTATGGGTCTTTTTACCCCGTCATCATTTTTATTCTGTATTTGGCCATCTGAGAGTGCCATCTTACACCAACCACTTTGTTGTGCACTGAGAGATAAGTATTTTTAAAAAATACAGTATGGATCAGTGTAGTCATGGCTGGCTAGGAAATTCTGGGAGTTGAAGTCCACACATCTTCAAGTTGTTGAGACTGAGAAACACCGGGATAGATTGTTGAATGCTGGCCTACCCATGTTTGCTTTCATTTGTCCTGCAATCCCACTGCAAACTTGCCTTTCCAAATTCAGAAGGAAGCTGTGTCTTCCTCCCCTTGAATTCATTGGTATTTGAGAGGGCAATTGAAGAAATGCTCTACTTTCTGGAAGTTTTACTTCATTGGAGTCTGAATGACTTAGGAATTTGGTTCATGTGCTTTTACCAACCTATTTCTATTATTGGTTGACTGTCTAGAAGTCAAGACTGTCTGGGATCTTGACTTCCTGGTTCAAATGTGCTTTTCCTTATTTAGTCTTCATTTGTCACAGGGTGGAATTGTAGCAGTAGTTTCATGGCAGGTTGCAGTGGTTATAAAAAAAAACACTGTGTTGTGCCATATGAAATTAAACATGTTGATGCTCTATAAATATAAAATATTGATGTTTACAAACGTTCACAATATTTGTATGTGCCTTTCCAATAAGTATTTCAGATACCTCCGGAGCAAGTATATTAAATGTGCCAAGAGAACAAAATAGAGTATAAAAAGTCAAAATGTGTTTTTTTCCCCCTTCCAGTAAAAAAATCTTTTCTGAGTTACAATAAAACAATATGGGGCCCTCTGGAACTTGTAGAGAAATTGTACCCAGAAGCTGAGGAAATTGCTGCTAGTGTTAGAGATTTACCTGGTCTCAAGTAAGTTATTTTCTCAATAAGGATCTTTGGAATTACAGATAATTTGTAATTTATTGAAATATTTTCCTCACTGCTTTCCATATATAAATCAAGAAAATGAAATGAACAAGAATCCATCTTCCACAGTTAAAATGTGTATAACTTTTCTTAAACTCATAGAATATTCTGTAGGTGAAATAATGTTCTTATTCAGAATTGTAGGAAAGGTTGTGTCTTGGGCAAAGAAGATAAGATAGACATTCTACTGGATTTGGACCATTTGCTCATGTATTGTCTGAACTGACCAGCAGTTGCTCTTAGATCTTTGAGGCACACCTGAAAGTGCCAAGAATTGCAGCTGGGAGCTTTCTCATCCAAAGGATCTGTTCTCCCACTGAACTATATTCCTTTGCAACTGCCAACACACAAAAGGAGGCTTGACAATGGGCACAGCTGCGTTAAAGTGCAATCCACCAATCTCTGACCCAGAAGAAAAGTTGGGCTGCATAAAATTTGCTGTTCTGATTGCCAAGTCCTATTCTGCCCCAGTCATGAAGCTGGACACTGGGACTTTCCTGTTTTAATGGGGAATTTTGCTTCCTGTCCCCTCCAGCATTGCCTGATGGGGAAACAACCATCTATCACTCCTTGGATGTGGCAAGCCGGACAGGTGCTTGAAGTGGCAGATCCAGTCAGCTGTCAAGTTGCCCAAAATAGCCCGCCCAACAGGTTGCAGGTGGGAAGGAGGGGTGCAGGATGAAGCGGGTAGGATCGGAAATGAGCGAACTCCGCCTCTGATTAGTGCTGCAAGAGAATGACAGTGCTAGCAGCAAGTCCACTTCTCTTCTTGTGGTGGATCCCAGCCCTGATCGTGTCTGGAATCACATTATTGATGGAGTATGCTAGATTGTATCCATGGCAAAAAGTGTGTTGGGAGAAACTGGAACAGCTAGAAGTGACTTTGAGGTGGTTCAGCTGTGGGGTGAAATGAAGGCAACATAATGAGGATGTAGCAGTAATATCTGGTTACCAGAGCAGGTCTATGGCAGCACATGAGGATGAGCCCAGTGAAGAACTGTTCTCGTCACAGATTAATGAGGTGAACATTTTAATAAAATAACTAGAATATTAAACATTGGTTTTGATGTGATACAGTTTTCCTATTCGTATTCATAAGCTGGTATTTAAAATAAAGTCTTAATTAATTAATATAGCTGACCAAGGGACTGTTGGTGGCTTACAAGAGTGGGCTTAATCTTTTCAGAGATTTCAGTAGCATAGAGTCCTATGGTCTCCTTTGGATCTCCTCCTCCAAATCCGAGTGACCCACCCCTAGATGGAATGACCCAGCCTCTGATCCCACCCCCAGCTGCCCACTGCAGAAATCTCAGGGCATTCATTAACCCCTTCTTCCCCAGAAAACACCATAAAGGGAAGGTATTTGCCCAAGATAAATACAGGGGAGGACATTTTCTTCCATTTTGGGTCTTAAGAGCTTTTTCAAGTAAGTGTTTAAATCAGAAGGGTTTTTTTTTATGAAAACAACTTTTTGATGAGAGTGTAAAGTGGCCAAAGCAATTACTGAGTTGAATATTGAACGATTAAAGGACATTGTTCCAAATGAAGATGGAAAGTGGTATAATCCGTGTCTCTTTATTGGAAGACCTGTTGACTAGTCTTAGAAACAGTAGGCCTGACCAATACATGTCTGTGCTCTGGGCTATTCCTTTTTTAAATCAGGACTTCATTGGGACGTGCTCGGGCTTGGTTGCGCTTGGCACTTATGCAAAAAAAGATGGCTGACTATCTACGATGTCTCATCCTTCGGAAGGATCTCCTCGGGTGAGCACTTATCCAGATTCTTATTAAAAGTCAGTGCTTTGATTGCAAACAGAATTGTGCACCTTGACTGTATTACATTGTAACTAGAACTTAGCTAAAATAAGGATTTATTTTCTTGGTTCAATAAAACAGCTTACATTTGGATTGCTTAGATAGCAGAAGCAATCCAAGCATTTCGGTTTCTTCTGAATTATAGATGTCAGTAAAACAATCCATTTTGTTGACCTGGCATCTGTTTTTTAGATAGAACAAAAAAGAAAGGGGGGATTCTAATGATCATTTGGGTTTTGACAGTACTGTAGCATAAGCCAGAAGTCAACAACACAATGCCTGTGACATTTTCAGACAGCACTTGCCACAACAGTGGTGATGATATATTCTTTCTCTTTTGCTGCTTAATGTATTATGCAAATTTACATTATGCTGTCAGCTGTTGGAAAAGGCTGCAGACCCAGAGCCTACGCTATACAAAATGTGGTTGCACAGTATTTAATTTTGTATTTGCAGAACCAGGCATCTTCTAAAAAAGTAATTTTCTCTGCTTTTTTATTCTAGATAGGGAATGTTATTTATGTTATTCTGGTTGTGTGTGGCTTCTGTTGCATGGAGAATCTTTTTCATCCTTGTGCAAATATGAAATCCAATATTTGATTCTCTTTGAGGATGTTATTTCTCAACATGTTATGATGTCATGATTTTAAGTGCTGCTGATGCTAGTTTGCCAAGTACCTGCTAATGGTTGCATAGTGGGACATGCAGTCATTAGCAGGTCTACTTTTTCTACCTGTGTTGACATTGGATGCAAACTTAGAAGATCTGCATATGTTTGAACTTTGGTAACAGAGGTAACATGATTGGAATCACAAGATACATTTGTGTGTATCATTGGTATTGAGGAAGAATGATGCAGAGAAAAGAGATGAAATTGCTGTGTGCCATGTGAGTTATTTCTAGAAATTGTGAAGAATTCTGTCATATCATCAAAGTTGAAGAAATACTTAACTACAGCCCAACCAGCTTTTGTAGATGGGAAGGGGCACAGGGAAGATAGGTTTTATTTTGGCCTCTGACAATTAGTCGGGCTGACTCTATTCTGTGGACACAGGCAAGTTTTAAACTCTCAATTTTGCTAGTTTGCATCCTTTGAAATAACTTCAATAACAATGGCATCTGTTTTCATGAGGAAAGCCACATGTTTTTGAATTGCCACACTGTGTTGGCCAGTACAGTAGAGCTTTAGATCTACTGGAATATCAGTGAAGCTAATCTTCAGGAGACTTGAAAATAAGGTCAGCTATAGAATTGATCAGTAATTGAAAATGTGATTTGAATTATATGAAAATGCGTTTACAGTGAATTTTATGAATATCATGCACTGATGATGGAAGAAGAAGGAGCAGTGATTGTCGGATTGCTTGTTGGGTTAAATGTAATTGATGCAAACCTGTGCATAAAAGGAGAAGATTTGGATTCACAAGTAAGTAGACACCACATTAAGGTAGAATATTTAGCTGTAAGAGCAAATCTGAAGACCTTGAATAAATTAATTCAAATAATTTATTTAAATTAATCTGTTTATAAGCTGTTTTTCCCCCATGCAAACAATTTATTTTCTTTGAAGCACTATAAAAACTTATAAATTGCAGATCCATATAATTCTGCTTCTCTGAAGAATACTGGTCGATTTTACAACAAAAATGTTTCTTGATTAGGAGATCTTTCAAAGTATAGCCTGGCTACGTTTTTTCCCTTGTAATAAATTTAGTTCTATGTCCTTTCTTCAGGATGTGCGTGAGAGGGATGTTTTTAGCTTACGTATAGTTCTTAGAATTGTAAACTCAATGTGATAGCTTAAATGTTTGAGTATTAGAAAAATACCAATATTGGACTGTTGATAATGTAGGCTTATCTATATAGTATTCATAATTAAACCAGCACACTTTTGCTCATTTATGGGGACAGCTCATTGCTCTCCTTATGCGTTCAATCCACTGTGGGCTCAGTTTGGCCTGGAAGTTTTCTAATCCATGGGAGCAGATGTGGGGGAGATGGGGGTGGTTGTAAAAACTGTTCTGTTGCAAAATGACATGGGTCAATACAATCCAACCCATAGTTCCCTAAATGTTAAGGCACATGTAAGGTGATCATTTCCAAATCTGGAATTTCCCATTCTGTTGAATTTGGTCAAATTTCCAGGAGAATGAAGCTTATACCCTAGCTTTTCATTTACTTCATTTTGCAAAATTTGAATTTTTTTTTTTAAGGTTGGCGTGATTGATTTCTCCATGTATCTAAAGAATGAAGATGACACTGAAGATAAAGAAAGGTGAGTTTTAGAAGAAATTGTGATGCTTAGCATGTTGAACTAAATGGTTGAAAAACCCATCACGCTGGAAGGAATTCAACAGTGTCCTTCCCCCTCACAGAATATTCCTTCTGTTCAGAAGAAGGAAACCTTTGCCCGTGGTCCATTTTTTGTTCATGTTGTACCTAATGTGTGTTAGTTCTGACCTACAAAGCCCTCTAAGGCTTCCCACAAGTTGTACACCTACGTAACCACCTACTCCAACCAGATTTGATCCATGAAGCTGGTCATGTCACCCTAATTTCATGAGGGGGAGGGCTGAGGTCAGAAAGTGCTGTTTTTGCATTATGGCACTCTGCTGTGGAGGAACCAGCCACTGAGCTGTTAATCTGGCTGCCTCAGGGCTGGCTTTTTGAAGTTGGGTGGGGTTTGTTTTTTTAATGCCTTCAAGTCCCTGCAGTTTTCTAGGCAATATTTTCGGAGGTCGTTTGCCCTTGCCTCCTTCCTAGGGCTGAGGGAGAGGGACTGGCCCAAGGTCACCCAGCTATCTTCTTGCCTAAGGCTGGACTAGAAGTCACAGTCTTCTGATTCTAGTTTAGCACCATAACCACTAGTTTAAACTGATTCTTTCTTCAAGTTAGCAAAGGCCAAACTTTTCCAGAGGATCTTCAGGGAAAAATTGTTTGCCCTTGGTTTATTTGCTTGTTTTATTTATTGTATATTGTAACTGTACTCTGTGTGTGTGTTTACTTTCACCTTTATTGACTTTTACTAAATTCTATTCCATTACTTTACATCTTTATGAGTCTGAAAAATCATAATAATAGTAATAACAATAACAGATTTTAGCCTGAACATTCAGTACTGTGAAAAAAGTTATACATTTTGGTGCCACAGATCTCAAGGGCAAAAAGCAGAAATTATGGAACAACTAAAAAAAAATCAGAACAGATTCTATTGTTTAATGAAAGGCAATTGTTTAATCAAAGAAATGCAGAACAGATATGAACAGTCCTATTTTATCAAAACCTAATACAAACTCAGGAAAATAGATAATCAGTCATATTATTCCCATCTGATAAACCTTAGGCAAATGTTCCAGTTCCAATTTTGTGAGAAAACCAAATGAAACCTTTTTTTATGGACTCCAGATTTCTTGATGATGGAATATTGAGAAGAACCAGTTGATTATCCAGTTCATGCTGCTGCTGTTCTACATAGGATGTTCTATATTTCAAGACATATTCAGTTATTGTTGTTTTTTAATCTATGGGGAATAGTTATTAAGACAGCATATTTCCTGTACAGTAAATAGAAATTTCTCACATGGCATTCTCAAGACTCAGTATCTAATTAATCATTAAATATTCAACTTCTTTTAGAAATGACCATATTGCTGCAATATTAGATCAGAAGAATTATGTTGAAGAATTAAACCGGCAGTTGAAGTAAGTATATATTGAGGCATGGGTTAAGTATAGAGACAGGTATCATCTGTTTTAAAAAATAGTTACCTTGGTAATTATCAGGCATTGAAATTATTAGTATTTATTAAATCATTAGTAGAAAGAAGAGAAGTTGGGAAGGGTTGTGAAATGCAAGGGCATCCATGGGGAGGGGGTCAAAAAGGTCAAGATGCTGATTGCAACCACATGATCAAACTCTGCCCCTTTTTCATGTGGACACATGATCACATAAGAAGTGGGATTTTTTTTTTTTTTTTGGTGCCTTCAAATCAGTGTTGACTGCTGGTGACTGCCTGGACTAGTCCCTATAGTTTTCTTGGCAAGATTTTTCAGAAGTGGTTTGGCCTTGCCTCCTTCTTCCTAGGGCTGAGAGAGAGGGGTTTGTGCCTAAAGCAGGACTAGAACTCACACTCTCCCGGTTTCTAGCCTGGTTCCTTGCCATTTTGACTTTTAATCCCCACCTCTGATGGATCCTAGTTAGAAATACCTTAGGATATTCTTACATTAAAATGTGGTTACATTTTTAATCTGGGAGCCCTAGGAGGAATTTGTTAGCTGTTGCATCAAGGAATTCATATTGCCACGATAACTCCCTTTTAATATGGTTTTTTGCTGTTCTTTACTAAGCAGACTAACAACACAGTCCTGTTGTTATTGATTTAGGAGTAAGACTAATATTCCAGATTATAGTTGTAGATGACATTTGGTTCTACTGGTGTCTTCCATAGGACAGCTGTCAAATGAATAAGTAAAATATACTTCTTTAAAGTATAAAGTATAAAAGGTATATTTAAAGACCTGTGTATCTTTCCTGTGGATATGACATGGCTGTTCAAAGATGTTGTTCATGCATGTTTGGCTTCATGACGTCAAACACAAACAGTGCTCCCGTTCAGATCTCTCTACTGAGTGCAGTAAATCTGGATTAGAGAAAGCGGAGGGGCTGAGTCAGTGTGGCCAGCTTTGTCCTTCAGTAGCATGAACTTTCTCACATTATTCAGGAGAACACATGAACACATGAACTAATAATTAGCCTTCTCCAGATGATAAGAGGAGGACGAAGGGACAATCATATAATGGCCTTTTGGGTCATAGCAGTTAGCCAGCTTTGAGTGATCTCAAAAAGCTAAACAGCATCAGATCTCTTTGATATTAGGAAGGGAGACCACTGGGATATATACCAGGGCTATAGGCTAGTTAAGGAAGTCTAAAAACATCCTGGGAGAAAAGCAGTGGTTAACTACTTCTGTATTGTGGTCAAGAAAACGACATGAAATCATCAGGAGTGGAGCCAACTCAAAGGGGACTTTAGCTTTACCTCAAGCTGATTCCAACAAGGAAGTAAAAATTCATGCTACGGATAAGAAAGAAAACCTCTGGGGGAGATGGGCGGCACATAAATTTAATAAACAAACAAAACACTATACATTTTGAGGAGTGATGGCAAAGAAGTATCTTCTGATGCATTTGTCGGTGGGCACCAAGCAGCTGCTAGGAGGTTTTGTAAATCAACTTGTACAACTGCACAATTGCAGAAATAATTCTGAAGAATTTTTTTTTTATCATTTTCAGTAGTACAGTCAGCAGCCTCCATACACGCGTTGATTCACTAGAGAAGTCAAACACTAAATTAATTGAAGAGGTATTGTCTTTCAGCAATATATACTTTAATGTTGAAATTAGCAGTATTTATTTGCGTTTTGGGTTTGGTTTTTATTTTGTTTTGGGTTGTTTTTGGTTTGCTTCAGCCAATATGTTTCCCTTTGCCGGGGTGCATTGCGTGTTACAGAGCATCTGAGGAATGTGAAGATGGTGGCCTAGTTTCTTAGATCTTCTCCTTTTTGCTCAGCTGCAGTAAACCAAATGAAATCCTGGCCCATCAATATAAACCTACATATATTTTTTTTGCCATAGAGGCAGGGGCATGTGCAAGGGTGGTCAAAAAAGTCAAGATGGTCATTTAGTTGGAGCCCTGCCAGAGCCATCTTGACTTTTTTGACCCAGCCTATAGACAATCTGCAGATAGCCCTGAAATATGTATGAAAGCAATATGGAAGGATAGGTCCAGATCCACCAACCCATGTAATATATCTCTCCAGCTGCTGAGAGTCTGCGTACAATTGTGGCAGGGCGTGACTCATGGCGCTCTACATATTAAACATTCATTCACTATTGTTAATGTGGGATTTTAACTGAGTTTAATATCTTTGGTTGTAAATTCTGGATTTGTGCTTCCTGTCAACGGCCATGAGTCCATGGTTGTTGGCAATAGAAAAAGGTGAATGAATAAGTAATAAATAAGTATGCTGAATTAGTGCAGTGACGTGATTAGGAGATTGTGACATTTTCATGCAGCACTTTGTATCTGGAATTGTTTTTTTTTGTTTTCATTGTTTGAAAGTTTTTGAATTTTTATTGTTATGTTCTATCTTTTTCTTAGTTGGCAATAGCTAAAAACAACATAATTAAACTTCAGGAAGAAAACCATCACTTAAGAAGTGAAAACACACTCATTTTAATGAAAACACAGCATCGTCTAGAGGTATGATATTTGATTAGTATCTTTAAAATAATTCATGATTTGTATGGCACATTTGCAATTGTTAATGTAATTTTCTGTAAAAAATATGTAATTTTAAATAATTTATATAAATACTGCAAGAATCTAGCTAAGAGTTTCCAGAGGGAATTTTTGGAAGATCATTTGTAAATATACTTTGTTGTCTGGCAAATTATGATGACAATAAAAATAAAAAAATAATGTTATTTGTTACTAAAAGTATTACTGCATTCACAGTTGGACAAGACCTTTTAAAGACCAAACAGAATATCAAGCATGCAAGTTTCAAATTTCTAAAATTATTATCAGTACCAAAAAGTGTGTAGAGAAAAGAACAAAAACGTAAAAAATATATGAAGTCTAGTTCTAGATTTAACTGGTGGTGAGAAACTTTCTAGCAGTCTGGGCATCTCTTGAATTGTTCTGGCGTCTCAGAAGCTGTGGAGATACAGCCAGAAAGGAGGAAATAATTCAAGCAATTTTTCCTCTGAATTGCCCTCAGATAGAGTCTTGGCTATATACGATTGTTAATATACTCATCAAGGCCCACAGATACAAATAATGCCAGTCAAGTATTTTGATAAGGTCATATGGGGACAACATGGAGTCACTTCCTTGTGAGATGGGCGGTGTCTAAATTTGAAACATAAAATAAATAAATAAACATCTTTGAGCAGGGTTTTCAGAGCAGGGGAGACAGACCCCACTGAAGACATGAATCCAAGTTTTATACCCTCTTGAATACCCTCACAAGCACCCCAGGATCCTTATAAGATTAGAAAGATTTTGTAGGGATAATAGAAAAACTTCTAGAATGACATAATAACCACCCACAAAATATTCAGAGAGGGAACTTCTTAAAACTGCAGAAGTCAGCAGGGATGATTTATCTATTGAGTACAAATAGAAGAAATGAAAAATGGTGAAGCAGCTGAAATATGGGATAAAAATAGACCTTATGAAGCAGAACAGGCAAATAAAACTGACATGCAATTGGGGCAAATGACAGGGAAGTGGAAATACTATTTTGATACCTTAGGGAGTCAGTTAACGAATGGATTCTCCCAAGACCAGAACTGCAGGCCAGGGGAAGAGCAGTGTGTCTCTCGGCACACAACCCGTGGCCATTCCAAAGATGGAGTCGGTAAAAAAATTGAAATGGGCTAATAAGGCACAGCTAATTCTAATGTGTCATGACATCACTGAAGTGAACAGGATGAAAACTTTTGCCCCATATTTGGTAGGGGGTTACAGTTCTGCAAGGCTTAAGGCACACATTTCTCCCCTTCTTTGCAGAAAAGAGAGACCCCAAACGTCGTCCCCCTCTGTTCCACAGGTACATGGGAGGTGCAAGAGACGTGGATGGACTAGACGCTCCATATTCATGATGGACACTGAATTAATTAGTCCTGGCTAGATTCTGCGTGTCTCAAGTTACTCGTGGGGTTTTTGGAAGAAGAATCAGTTGCAGACCCCCATTTTTTAAAAATATAAACATTCAGCTGGTGATTTCAGCAGAAATCTCTTTCTGACCTACTGAAGATGAAATTTTCATAAATAGCATTGCCATGAGGAATATCTCATGAACAATAACAAATATGGCAGATTCCAAACTATAAAAGGAGCATTTTTTCTGTATTTTCAGTAGTATTTATACGTATTACAATACTTTTTAAATAGGTGCTGTGCTTGCAGCTTATATGTGATCTAAATCATTTTTGACACATGCATAGCCCTATAAAATACCCTTTCCTTGTCTTCATGTCATCACAAACCCAAAGAAAAGTTAGGAGGTGGTTCTTGCTGCCTAGGGCATTTATCTGTGTTGCTCTAGGAAGAGGCTTCTTTTTGAATACCAATGTTTTTAAGTACAATAATTTTCCTTATTTCCTTGGTAGATTAATAAAGTAGATGCCGAAGCAGAACTTCAGACATATAAACACTCCAGACAAAGCCTGGATGAAATGTATAATGAAGCACATAGGCAACTTCGAGAAGAATCACAGTTAAGACAAGTGAGTGGGTATCCTATAAACTGTGAAGTGGAGGGTTACTCCTGCATGTTCCTTGCTCTCAGTCATAGAGTTGCATACTTAGGTAGTTGCGTGCTGTTGTCAACCATCTATCATGCTGTTTGGCTAGATCTGTTTAATCTAAAATTAAACACAAGATTTTGGGAAGATTTGGATTTGTTTGTTTTTATGTTCTGTAGGATATAGAGAATGAATTGATGGTCCAGGTTGGTATGAAGCATGAGATAGAACTTGCGATGAAGTTACTGGAGAAAGATATACATGAAAAACAAGACACTCTTATAAGTCTGCGGCAACAGCTGGAGGAAGTCAAAGCGATAAATGCAGAAATGTATCAAAAATTACAGGTAATTCATTATTTATATCTTGAAACCAAAATACACAAGTGTAATATAGTGGTGTCTGGTGGTGTTTGGGGGTTTGATTTCCCCTAGAGAGTTGTTCCTCTTTCTCTCTAGCTTTCAGGGGCAACTTGACAGCTATTCTCTACATGGGTTTGAGACTGTAAATTGAGCTACAGAAGGGCTGTATTTGGGGAGGTCACAGAATGGGCTTGGTTTGTTTGATATGCTAGGCCACGTCTGCTTAGCATCAGCCATCAGCAAGAAACATACAAGCGATCCTATATTAATAACATGGAAGCCATTCTTGCAGAAATCTGGGTGTGCCTCTCTTTGCAGCTGGTATCCTAGCTGGCAGTGGCTGGCCAGCTAACCAGAGTTCGTTGCTAATTGAACAAAACACAAGGGCACTATGGCCTGATCAGCTTGGCAGCTTCTGTATGCAAGGTGAGGGATGCAAATCCTTCTTTAAGCACCTCTGCTTTTTTAAAAAGACCTTCCCGTGTAGCTGGAGCAGGAGGAGGAAAAATACATCCAGGAGCATCAAAAATGTGGCTGCAACAGCTGCTGTTTTTGGCCACTGCTCTTAGACTGTATTTACTTCTCTTCATTAGTCCAGGTTCAGACAATCTGCCAGACCATGGCTAAAGTAAACTAACCAAAAGTAAGCCACAACTACAGACCCTGTTTTAAAACATACCCTGTTAGCCCCAGTTTGAATGGTGGTCTGAGTTCAGACAACAAAGTCAGTGCTCGCAAGCTAGAAGAGAACTCTTATCCCTAACCTAGCCCTATTCTGAATTGATGAGACCTAAAATGGAGGGTAGTCACTTAAAGCAGACATCTCCATTGCTAGCAAAATGGCTGTCCAAGCGCATGGATGTGCAGACAGCTGGAGATAGTTTTCAAGCGGCTGTAGGAGACTTGCAAAGCATGTGACTGCTCTAATGCTTCGAACGGAGGTGCTTGTGAAGTGGCACTTTGGAATGCATTGTGCACTCCTACTAGTTTCCCTGTGTACTGGCTTCTCGTTACTCCTTTTAACTATCTAGCCCAATGTTTCTCGACCTTGGTGGATTTAAGATGTGTGGCTGGGGAATTTTGGGAGTTGAAGCCCACACATCTCAAAGCCGCTAAGGTTGAGAAACACTGACTTAGCCATTGAGGCCAGAGGTATCAGGCCACTCATGCCAAGTCAAGAAATGTCAGGTTGGGATGCCATACAGGTAGTCCTTGCTTAACGACTGCCCTGATTAGCAACTGTTTGAAGTTACAACAGCGCTGAAAAAGAAACTTTACAACCACTCCTCACATTTAGGAGTGTCGCAGTGTCCCAGTGGTCGTGTGATCAAGATTCAGGTGCTTCGCAACCAGCTTCTGACGAGCAGAGTCAATGGAGAAGCCGGCAGTAAAATTGCAACTTGCAGTCACATGATGTCTTGCTTAACAACAGAAGTGGAAGTGAGGTTGTAAGTCTGTCACAGTCACGTGATGGCTTGCTTAACAACCATGTCACTTAGCAGTGGAGTTGCCGGTCCCAATTGTGGTAGTTAAGTGAGGACTATCTGTATTCTCTCTCCACAGATGCTAAAGGAAAATAAAAAGCACGGGTCACTGCCCTCCCCATTCATACACATTGATAAACAGTGCACATCTTGAAGGCAAATTTTTTATTCTTATCATATAATCAGGTACAGATATTACTCTGACATCAGCCACATTTTTCCCTCTTTTTTCCCTGACTACATGAAATGTTTTTGGAACTGAAAAATGTGCAGCAGTTTTGCAGAACTGAAGTTGCCCTGATGACTGTTGGACTTTTTTTTTCTTTGCGGCCAGCTACTTTCTGCAGAGATTTCAGTATTCAGAGATTCATTGGTTCAGAGAGATCTGCATTTAACATCAAGGAGAAGAAGAAAGAAAAGCTACACAGCAAGATAATTACCATATTGTAATATAATAATCTCTAATAACAGTTTTCAGATGATGCCATGAAAGAAAAGAATGAAATAATTGGTCGCCTGGAGGATAAAACCAGTGAGATTACTGCAACTATGAAGCATCTGGAGCAAAGGTAGAACATCACATTCTTTTTTTTTCTTACTCATTTTTTCCCCACTAGCTTGATTGGCTGTTTGGCCCATGTCAATGCTGTTGTATAAAGGCTTATGTCTTCATCTCATGTGCAAATTTTGGTGAAGTTTAGTTACACTTTTACATAATCCCAACTATTTTTAACGCAGTTCAGTTTAACCCACCAGGTTCATAATCCATGGTTTGAGGTCAGCTTGTTAGAAAACATGATCTCTAGCTCATATGCAGTGACAAGCTGAGCTTTTGCAAAAGCCAGAATAAACACCCCTGAAGTCTGCCTGGCCAGCATTGGGTGATGGGGGGAAACTAGGAACTGGGTTTGTTCCAACTCACGTTGCAACATAGAACAGACCTTGGCTTAGCATTACATGCGAGCTGGGCAGGTTATAGACCCCGTTACCTGCAGGTTGTGCCAAAATTAATAGAACATCATTTTGGAGAACTATCAACATTTGACTTGCTCTTAACTTTAAATACAGGTTCATGCAGGAACAGCTATAGTTCAAACTGATCTGCTTTTACATACTTCTGTGAATATAGAAGATGCCTCCCCCTGATTTTGGGGAATCCACTCTCCCTTTCTCCTCTCTATCACATGACATCCCATTCAGCGGATTGCAGTTAGTGGTTTCAAAACTTTCCCCGTTTGGCTTTTCCATATTGCTTCTAATTCTTCAAAGTTCCACTTGACCTAAGTGTGCCTGGGGCACCAAATGCTGGGAGGCGGCAGAAGATAAGGTTTGAATCTCCTTTTAAATTCAGCTGTAGACTGACGCCCTGAATGATGAGTTGAAAAATGGAAGGGCCACAGACAGTGTTTTCGGTCCCATCCAGGGACTCTCACCCCTTCTTACCCTTTTGGCCAGATGTGGCCTGCACAGCCTTCCAATACCAGCAGCTCTAAGGCCATCAGAAAAAGCTGGGAGATGTCCCACAGCTGATGGTTATAGAGTTTGAATTTTCAAGGGGTTGTTTTGTTAACTGGTTTCCTCATACTAGAATCCAGTGTTTCTCAACCTCAGTAACTTTAAGATGTGTGGACTTCAACTCCCAGAATTCCCCCAACAAGCTG